TCGGGGTCCACCGGGCCGCAGTCCTGCGGGGGCTGCGCCGCGGCGTCTGCCCGCGCTGCTCGGGCCTGCGCGCCGGAAGCGGTCGGGCCTGCCACCGCCGCGGAGAGACGCGCCCGCCGTTCCGGGCGAGGGTTGCGGGCGCAGTTGCGGCGCCCCGCGCGCCAGCGCCGCGACCCTCGCCATAGGAGCGGTTCCTCCTCCCAGCGCGATTTGGGAGGCGCGGGCCCGGGCCCTCCCCAGCGCCGCTGAGGCCCACTTGCCGTCAGCCGCGCGCGACCGTCGCCGCGGACGAAGCGCTCGAGGCAGTCTTGGCTGGTGAGGGGGATTGCTTCCTGGAGCTGGTGCGCGGCAAGCTGCTCCTTGCCCCGCCGCCTGCGCGCGCGCTGCTCAGGGCGGAGATGGCTGAGCGCCCTCGGTTCTGGTAAGAGCGACAGTGGGAGGCCCTGCTCCTTCGAGCTGAAACGCAGGCCCGGGGGCGCGCTCGGGGGCGGGCCGGCCCTGCGGAGCCGCGGCCGCAGCGAGGCCGGAGGGCCCGCAAGCTCGCGCGGGGCGGCGCCCCCCGCGAGAGGAAGCGCTGGGCGGCGCCCGCTTTCCTCGCCCGAGCGGAGCTGGCCCGACTGGCGCTCGCCCCGAGCGCCTTCGGGGGGCGCTCCAAGGCCGAAGCAGGGCAGCGCAAAACAGATTACCGCGGGCGGTGGCGCAGCTTAGGCGCCGGGGCGCCCAGGGCACCCTCCCCGAGACCGCGCGCTGGATCACGGACTCGCGCGCGGTCTTCCTGCGCGAGCCAGGCGCAGAGACCCCGCGCCCGATCCGCGTCGGCACCGATCGCGGCTGGCTGTGGGAGTTGTCCTGGGCGCTGGCGATTCTCCCGTGAGAGTTCTGGGTTGCGGCGCGCCTGCGGGCTGGCGCCCCGCTCTGCGCGGCCCTTGGTGCATGCCCCCGCTGCGGCGCGGAGCGAGGTGTCGACGGGGCGCGCGCCGCGCGCCGCGCTCCAGGGAGTCCGCCCGCGGCCGCAACAGCGGGGCGAGATTCACGCGTTGGCACCCCTGTCCGACGGGGCCGCGCGGGCGGAGGCGCCGGGCCCCATCGAGGCCGCGCCGCTCCTCCACCCGGCCGATGCGCTCACCATGCGCTGCTGCTTTCGCCCATGACGGCGCCCGACGCGGGCATTGCGGCACCGCGCGCGGCCAGGGCTGGCGAGGGCGCCGCCGCGACCCGCGCGCGCGGCGAGGTCGCCAAGCACGCGCCGCACCTGGAAGCACTCGCGGCTGATGGGATCGCCGACAGGCCCGTCGTCTGGACGACGCGGGGCCGCCCGCGCGAGGGAACTTCGGCGGCGGTCGCGCCCGCGGCGGCCGCGGCAGGGAGGCGCCCGGGCGTGCCCCCCGCGCGCGCTCGCCACGCGGGCCCGCGCCGCCATCGGCGCTGCGATTTGGCGCCGAGCGGCGCGCATGGTCGCAGCCTGCGGCCCGCGGCTCGCCCGCGGGGACGTCGGCGCCCTCCTGCCGGGGGCTGGGGCCGCCCTCGCAGGTGTCGCCGACGACGAGGCCGCCTCCGACGTCGACGCTCTGGAGCCGCCCCCGAGAGCCGCGCTCGCGGGTGGCGCTGGCGACGCCGCCTCCAACGACGACACCCTGGAGCTGCTTCCGGCGGTGCACTCTGACTCCTCTTCGCCCAGCACCCCCTGCCCGGCGTCGCCCGCCTGCCTTGCCCGCTTGTCCCCCGCCCGGGACACAGTGGAGCTGGTTGGAGGCGCTTGCCGGCGCGGTGGGCGAGGCGGGCGCGCTTGCCGGCCCCGAGGCCGCGGACGGCGCCGCGGGCGCTGTGGGCGGCGCTGCGGGCGTCGCCGAGCTCGCGGCCGCGTTCGAGGTGCTGGGGGGCGCGCCTGGGCGAGGCGCGGCGCTGGCTGGAAGCGGCGGCGCCGGCCGGCGGGGCGGCCGGCGCTGGCGGGGCGTCCGCTGGTCCGCCGGAGGCCCAGGGCCCCGCCTGGTTCACCGCCTTCCGGCGGGTGCACGGGCGGGGGCCTCCGCCATAGCCGGGCAGCTGGGCTGGGTCAGCGCGGCGCGCGGGGGGCTGTGCGCGCGCGGGGGGGGAGAAAATTAGCCTGGCGAAGGACCCAACCATATGCAGTTGTGAGTAATGCTGGTGTGAGTACCGTTTTCGGTGGATCTCCCTTTGGGGCCACGAACCGTTTGAGGGGTGTGCCGAAATGGGTGTGGGGGCGGCATGCGAACGTTGCCATTGGGGCCTTCGGTGGAGCTCCTTATGAGGCCACGAAACGTGTGAGGGGTGCACCGAAGTTGGTGTAGGGGCGGCATGCGAACGCAGCCACTGGGGCCTTCGGTGGAGCTCCCTGTGGGGCCACGAAACTGTGGGGCCACGAAGCGTGTGAGGGGTGTGCCGAAATTGGTGCGGGGGCGGCATGCGGACCCTGCCACTGGGGCCTTCGGTGGAGCCCCCTATGGTGCCACGAAACGTGTGAGGGGTGTGCCGAAATGGGTGTGGGGGCGCATGCGAACCTAGTCACTGGGGCCTTCAGTGGAAATCCCCATGGGGCCACGAAACGTGTGAGGGATGTGCCGAAATGGGTGTTGGGGAGGCGTACGAACAGGCCACTGGGGCCTTCGGTGGAGCTCCCTATGGGGCCACGAAACGTGTGAGGGGTGTGCCGAAATGGGTGGTGGGGAGGCATGCGGACCTTGCCACTGGGGCCTTCGGTGGAGCTCCCTATGGGGCCACGAAACGTGTGAGGGGTGTGCCGAAATGGGTGGTGGGGAGGCATGCGGACGCAGCCAACTGGGGCCTTCGGTGGAGCTCCCTATGGGGCCACGAAACGTGTGAGGGGTGTGCCGAAATGGGTGGTGGGGAGGCATGCGGACCCTGCCACTGGGGCCTTCGGTGGAGCTCCCTATGGGGCCACGAAACGTGTGAGGGGTGTGCCGAAATGGGTGGTGGGGAGGCATGCGGACCCTGCCACTGGGGCCTTCGGTGGAGCTCCCTATGGGGCCACGAAACGTGTGAGGGGTGTGCCGAAATGGGTGGTGGGGAGGCATGCGGATGCCATGGGGGGCCTTCGGTGGAGCTCCCTATGGGGCCACGAAACGTGTGAGGGGTGTGCCGAAATCGGTGGTGATGATGATGATGATGATGATGATGATGATGGGTGTATTCAGTACGGGAAGCAGGCACTGTAGTTGAGCATCGCCGTATGGCCACTGCCACTTGTGCTCAAGCTCTGTGTCAGGGCGCCCCCCACATTCTTGTGATGCAAGCTGCCATTCGCCAGCTTGTCGGACGGATCGCTGAAGGGGCCTCGACGGGCCTCGTCGTGTGGGCTGGGCGGCCGACTTGCCCGGCGTGTGAGTGCTCGCCGGTCTTGAAGTGCCCGCCGCTGACCTGCACGACCGGTGACGTTGCCCACATCTCGCCCGTGACGCCGCTCACGGTCGGGGTCATCTGCGCCTCCATCGCCCTGCTGGCCTTCTTCGCGGGTCGGCTGACGCGCTTGGGAGTCAGGACGGGGCGGCACGCCGACGACCTGGACGCCGCGGCTCGGGCCCAGGTAGCTCAGTATAAGGCCAAGGCGTTGGCACAATGATGCTGGCTGCTGCTGGCCAGCACCCGCTCACCGTGTCTCACGACCTCCAGGTGGGCGACTTCTGTGTTGTGCGCTATAACGTTCCAGGTGGGGCCCTGTACCACGAGCGGCTGGTCAACTACCTGCCGCGGGGTGCCGGGCTGACCGTGTCCATCACCACGCCCGACGGCGACGAGTACGAGGAGGTGTGGGGCCTGCCCGACATCATCGAGTGGGAGCCGCTGCCGAATCGGCAGCCGGGCGGCGTGTTGATGGGTCGGCCGGGAGCGCGATACTATCGGTTCAGAGCTGGGGCGATGCCGACAGCGGCGAGCCTCACGGCGTCCGCTGTGGCTGCTGCTGGACGCCTGGGCCAGCCCGCGCCGGGCGGGCCCTTGGTGCCGGCCCTCGACGGGCGCCTCGTCGGGCCGCCAGCGGGGGGGGCCGCACCTGGCGCGCTCGAAGCCGGGGGCGCCGCTGCCCCGCTGGGCGGAGCGCCGGCCGCGCCGGCGGCGGCCGCTGCAGCTGCGCCGGGCGGGATGGCCCCGGCGGCGGGGCTCGGCGGCCTGGTGGCGGCGCTCGGAGGCCCCGCGGCGGGAGCACCAGCCGGCGTTCTTGTTCCAGGCCCGCTGCCCGCCCCCGCTGCGGCCGGCGCCGCGGCGGCCGCGGCTCCAGGAGCCGACGGAGTGCTTGCCGCCGCTGCCGCCGGCGCCCCAGGGGCGGCCGCCGCCCTTGTGCCCGCGGACGCGGGCGCCGCCGCAGCCGCCGCGGGGCCGCCCGCTGCTGCGGGGGGCGCGCCCGCGGGTGCCGTGGGGGCTGGCGGCCACGTCCAGGACGCGAGGGTGCTCCCGGTGGTGTACGACGCCATGGGCAATCGTCGGCGGGAGTTCCGCGAGGCGGTCTTGGCCTGCCGCGAAGACGAGTGGGCGGGGTGGCCCGTGCGGGGACCTCGCACCGCGCTCTGGGTCCTGCGGTACATCATCGAGCACGGCGGGACGCCGACCGGGATGCACTCGCGGTGGCGCAGTGAGGCCCGCCTTCAGGAGCACGAGCCCGGGGTGCAGGAGCACGAACGCTCGTGCCGTGCGCTGGAGGAGCTCATCTGCTACGACCAGTGCAATGGGGCGAATCTGGCGGCCGTGGAGCTGCTGGTGCGCAACATCCAGGTCCAGCAGGAGAGGTACCGCGACAGGAGCGCGGGGGGCTCAGGAGGCGGCGGCCACGACAGCGTCGACACGCACCTGTACATGGGCAGCGAGCTGACCAGAGGAGGAGTGTGCGTGTGCCCTCTCCTCCAGGAGTGGGCCAGCGCCCAGCTGGCCAAGGAGCAGGCTCTGCTCAAGGAGCGGCGCAAGGCCCGGGAGGAGAGGGAGCTTGCCAAGAAGGGGAACAACAAGAAGAACAAGAAGGAGGAGGAGGGGTGATGTTCCCCTCGGCCGCGCCGGTTTCAGGCGGCTGGCGCGGCCCCCTGACTGAGACGCCTGTGGACCGTGATGCCTCTACCGGTCCGCCGAACAGAGAGGTTTTTGACATGCTGGGGCAGAGTGGCCGCCAGCGAGACATTTTTCCGCTGCCCCCGCTGTGCCGTGATCGCGCCGGCGCGGCGGGCCGCCGGGACCTGTCCCGGGTCACCAGGCGGCGTGGGGAGGCTGCCAAGCACATCCTCGACTGGGGCGACGACTGCATCGACGCCCTGAACGACTTGCACGGCCACCAGGATCGGCCGGCGGTCCCCGCCAACGCTGGTCAGCGACACGCAGTGGAGCATGTCGAGTCGCGAGTGCGCGCGCTGGGCAAGCCCCCACCAGAGGCAGGCTTCCGCGAGGGAGCCCTCCGTGAGCTCCTCGCGGGGACGGGGATCTACCAGACGGGTGATCTCTCCTCCCGACGGCCGTATGTCAAGGAGTCCATTTCCTGGCCCTCGCCCGACGTGCAGCCCGTCCCGCTGTGCGCCTGCCTGGGTGAGGCCGAGTCTGAGTGGCTGGGCCGCTGGCAAAGCACCTTGCTCAGGCCAGATCAACCTACATCCGCAGAACGTGCTGAGTTCTGCCCGCGCGGACCTTTTTTTGATCCCAGTCTCTTCAGTAAGCCTCTGCTTTACGCCGATTTTGTCGCCAAGCTGATGGCCCGCGGCATGGTGGAGCTGAGGGAGGACTGTGACGCGGCCACCGTGGGCTGCTTCTTCGTCGCGAAGAAGAACAACAAGTTGAGAGTGATATTTGATACGAGGTATGCAAACTTATTCTTCGGCCGACCAGCTCGGACCGCTTTGCCGACGGCTACGGCGCTTGCGGCCTTCGAGAACCCAGGGCACGACACCTACCTTGCCTCGGGCGACATCGATAATGCCTTTTACAGGTTGCGGCTGCCCGACGGCCTGTCGTCCTACTTCAGGCTGCCCGCCCTGGACGCCAGCCTGCTCGGGATCACGCACCTGGGCGGGGCGCGGCTCGCGCGAGGGGCGCGGGTGCAGCCTTGCGTCTGCGTGCTGCCGATGGGCTGGAGCCACGCGCTGGCCCTCTGCCAGGGCGTGCTGCGGCGGGCCCTGGACTCCGCGGGGTTCACAGAGGGCCAGTGCATCGAGGACGGGAAGGCCGGGGTCGTGGTCGACGAGGAGGGCGCCCTGGCGGTCGCCGGCTACGTCGACAACTACGCTGCCCTGGGTCGCTCACCGGCCATCGTCGACCGGGCCGCCCTCGCCGTCACGCGCGTGCTGACGGACAAGGGGCTGCTCACGCACGATGAGGAGCCGGCCGCCCGCGATGCCACCTTCGTAGGCTTAGAGCTGAAGAGAGGACGTGATCTTTCGATTAAGGCCAGGAGCATTTGGAGGCTTCGTTTTGGGATCGACGCCCTGCTCAGGAAGGGTTTCTGTTCTGGAGACGCTCTCAGAATCATCATCGGTCACTTTACCTGGGCTGGGTTGATTCGCCGTGAGGTCCTCTCTTTGCTCAACTCATGCTACCAGTTTGCAGAGCGGATCGGGCAGCGACAGGCCCGACTGTGGAGATCAGTGCGGCGCGAGCTCTGGCGAGCTCGCTGTATCTTACCGTTGCTCAGCGTTGACCTCAGCGCCGAGTGGTGGCCAGAGGTGGCCGCATCAGATGCTTCGTTGTTTGGTCTTGGAGTCACCGTCCGAAGAGCTCCCATCCAGCTGGTATCCTCTATTGGCCGATGCAGTGAGAGATGGCGCTTTAGGGTAGACGGGGCCCAGCGGGCTCGCGAACATGCCCTTCGTCAGGCTCCTGTGGACTCCATCAATGACCCCGACAAGGCCCTTGAGAACCTGCTGGTCGACAACCCCGTGGTCTTCGACGAGGTCCCCATGGGTTTCCTGAAGTCCGACACCTGGAAAGTCGTTCATGCCTCGAAGGTCGCTGGGTCCACGGACATCCTAGAGCTCGAGGGGGAGGCGCTCCTAATGGCTATTCGTCACACGCTCAGAAACACTGGGGCTCTTGGGAAGAAGATCCTGTTCATAGTGGACAACCTACCACTGGCCCTAGCGGCCACGAAGGGGCGGGCAAACTCTCGATACCTCCGACACGTGCTTCAGAAGATAGCTGCTCTTTCACTGACTACAGGGTGCAGGATAGTTGTGCGATGGGTCCCATCGGAACTCAATCCCGCTGACAATCCGTCTCGAGGTGATCACGGTTTTTTCACTACTCCATATCACGTGCACCTTGCCCGGCCGCATGGCTGGGCGCCGGCGGCCTGCGGCGGCGCAGGCCGCCGTCGAGCGGGCGAGGAACGCCCAGCAGGTGGCCGCCTCCGCGGTGCAGACCTTCGGCCTCTCGGTCCTCGAGTCCGCAGCGATCCGCCCGAACACGCAGAGGCAGTACCAGGACCGGCTGGCGACGCTGGTCCTCTTCTGCCGGACGTACCACCTGGACTGGGACAGCTGGGAGACGCTGGACAATGCGGTCACCGCGCTGCTGAACCACCAGTTCCTGGACGGCAAGTGCTCGGACCTGGGGACGCAGCTGATCGCGGCGCTGGCGCACGTCTACCCAAGGCTGGCCCGGCGCAGCGGGCTGTACCTGCCGCGCGCTTGCCGCGCTGCCGGGGCTTGGAAGCGTCGGGCACCCGGGCGCTCGAGGCTGCCGATGCCGAAGACTGGCGCGGCGGCGATCGCCGGGGTGATGCTGTTCCTCGGCCAACGCCGAATGGCCATCTACACCATGCTGACCTTCATCTGCTACCTCAGGCCGCTGGAGGGGATTGCACTGCGGGGCAGGCACCTGGTCGCCCCGGTGTCGGCGGCAGGCGCGAGCTACGCGAGCTGGGGGCTGCTTCTCCACGACTTCGAGCTCGGCCAGCTGTCCAAGACCGGCACCTCGGACGACGCGGTGCTCATCGACCAGGACAGCTGGATCCTGCCAGCGCTGGCCGGGCTCCAGGCGGCGACGCACGCCGACGCCTCGCTGTGGGACTTCGGCGCGACGGAGTTCAGGATGATGTTCAAGGCGGCCGCGGACCTGCTGGGGCTGGGGCAGCTTGCCCCGCATCCCTACTCGCTCCGGCACGGCGGGGCGTCAGACGACCTTCTGGCCGGCCGCCGAAGCCTGGAGCAGGTACGGGCGCGAGGCCGGTGGGTGTCTGCGTCAAGCCTGCGCCGATACACCAAGGCCACGCGCCTGCTGCGGGAGCTGCAAGAGGTCCACAGCGACATCTTCGGCTTCGGGAACTTTGTGATGACACACTTCACGGGACTCGTCGAGCACGGGCTGACTGGCCCGCTTTTCGACCAGGCCCCGGCGAGCGTGAGGAGCCTGTTGCTTGCAGGCCAGAGCGGCGGGGCCACGTCCGCCGCCGGCCGCGGGCGAAAGCGGCGGCCAGCGTGACTCACCTGATCCACGGCGGAGACGTCGGCGCTCACCTCGGTAAGAGGTTCGCTGCGAGCCTGGGCCGGGCAGTGCGCTTGCGGTCGCTGCTGTTCCTCGAGCTCTTCGGGGGCTGTGGCCGCGTCGCGGCCAGCGCGCAGGCCATGGGCTACGCCGCGCTCAGCCTGGACATCAACGGCTCACCTCTGGAGAACCATCTCACCCCGACCTTCCTCAACAGGATCCTGGGCTGGATCGCAAGCGGGGCCATCGCCGGGATCTGGCTCGGTACGCCCTGCAGCACCTGGACCCGTGCGCTTCGGGTCCAGCTGCGGACTGCTGAGTACCCTGACGGGCGGCCTAACCTTTCGCCTGATCTTTCTAGCAAGCTCGATATAGGAAATAAGTCATTCCATTTTTCCCTTCACGTGATCCGTGCATGCCTCAGACACAACGTAGGCGTCATGATTGAGAACCCTCAGACTAGCTTGATATGGTCCTCGCCTCACTTTCAGAAGCTCCTCTGTTTACAAAGCAGCACTTCTGTTATTTGTCACATGTGCCAATTCGGCGCGCCCTGGAGAAAAGCTACTCGGGTGCAAGCCTGGGCCATCGGAGAATTGTGGGAGCTGTCAAAAAAATGCGGCGGCCCCCGAGGCATTTGCAGCAGGACTCTCCGGCCCCACCTCGAGCTCACTGGGCGGGCGCCAGGCGGGAAGCACTGGACAGCCATTGCCGCCGCATACCCCGCTGCGTTTGCCAGAGCTGCCGCTGCCATACTCGTACGCACGTGTGAAAGCAAGCGCTCCCTCGCTCTCTCTGACAGAATGGGAGGGTAGCCCTGATTGTTTTTTCGGCCCCAGGCCAAGTTCGCGTTCGGGTTGTGGATGCGAGGCTCGTTCATCTGTCCAGTGGCTCGCCTTGTTGTCGCGAGTTCGCCGCCGTGCGCTGCTCCTCACAAATACATCATCTCTCTTGGCGACGAGGGTCGGAAGAGGCCCTGCTGGGTGTATTCAGTACGGGAAGCAGGCACTGTAGTTGAGCATCGCCGTATGGCCACTGCCACTTGTGCTCAAGCTCTCCCTCCCACCCTTTTTCTTTTCCCCGTGAGCTTGAGTGTGGCTTTAATGGTCTGATGCGAGGCTCGTTCATCTGTCCAGTGGCTCGCCTTGTTGTCGCGAGTTCGCCGCCGTGCGCTGCTCCTCACAAATACATCATCTCTCTTGGCGACGAGGGTCGGAAGAGGCCCTGCTGATGATGATGATGATGATGATGATGATGATGATGATGATGATGATGATGATGATGATGATGATTGGAGGAGGGAGGGGGGGGGAGGAGGAGGAGGTGAGGAACGCGGGGCGCCGTCTCTTCAAAACGAGGACCCAACACCACAGGATGGTTGGGAACAAACAGAAGCAACAACAACAAAAAAGACGAGGAGGAGTGAGGAGGAGGGCGGAGGACAAGGAAGAGGAGCAGGGATGAAGAGGTGAAGGAGGAGTCCAGGACGAGCAGGAGGAAGAGGTGGAGGGACGTCGCGCGGGGCGCGCAGTCCGAAGTGGTTTCGCCGCTCGGGGCGCCCTGCGCCCCCCGACCCGACGCCGCTCCCGGGGCTTCCGCCCCCAACCCCTTGCGACCAAGACGGCGTAGGCATAGATTTTCGGAGTGCCGCGCGCCCCCGTCGGGGGTCTCCAGAGCGTCTCTGGAGGCCTGGAGGCCCGCCGCAGAGCTCCCAGAGGCCTTTGGAGGCGCAGGACGGGCCAGGACCGTCCAGCGGTTTTCGATCGTCGAGGGTCGCGCATCGAAGAGCAAAATACGGCATGGGCACACATAAACCTTCGGAGGTCCGCACAGATTCTTGGGTCGGCGCCAGCCCCGCCATGGCGGCGCCTCAGGAGCCGCCCTTGACTCGCTCCGCGCGCCAGGGCCGGGTCCGACACCGACCCCAGAGGTCCGCGCGGAACTCCGAACGCTAGTGTGTTCAGTTAGGCCTGCGATCGTTAATCAATCTATTACATGAAATCGCGTCACTTTGGGAAGTGGAGTGGCTGAATATGCGCGGCGCACGAGGGAGGATCCGTAGGGTTGGAGGGAGGGCACTCGTGCTGCGCGGCGGTTTCGCAGACGGCGTGCTCGGTAAGAGGAGGGAGGAGTCATGGAGGGAGGGAGGGAAAAGGGCGAATAGTGAGGACGAATGGGCCGCGCCCATGCGTCATGCGTCATTCTGTCAACAGGAGTGTCCAGTTGCTCCTCACTTTTAGCCCTCCTCCCTCCCTCCTCCCCCTCTCTCCCCCTATTCCCCCTTCCTCCTCCTCCTCACTCTTCTCTCCTGCTTCACCCCTCTGCTCCTGCTCCTCCTTCCTGTCGTCGGCGCGGTCCTTCCCTTCTCCCCTCCCAAAGACGACTCGGGGCGAGGAAGCGGTCTCAGCCATAGGGCTCAGAGCTCCAAGGCCCATGAATTGAACACATCAGGACGACAGAGGGCTGCAGATCTGCCCTTCACCATTGGGGCGGTGCAAGGGCGCGAAGATAATCGCGCATCGCGCAGCCAGACGCGCAAAGTTACGTGATCTAGGCTCGGACACAGTTTGTCCTCTGCCAGAGGTCGAGCGACGCCCATTGCTTCATCTACCGTGAGCTTTTTGGGAGCTCGGGATCGAGGAGTCGGCAGCACCATTTGTATGTTGCGAAAGTTTAGGACTTAGCCCCTATCCTGCTTCCTGCCTGCGCCGAATTCATTCGCATCAATAGTTCCATTGCGCTGCACGCGTACGTACCAAGATGTTTCTTCTTGGTCGCATGGATTCGTTGTGGTATTCCAATGCACTGAGGATGGAACGCTGTGCGAAATAAAGTATCTGTAGCAGGGCAGCAGCATGGGCGAACACGGTGGTCCGTCCGAATCAGGATTGGACGACGCATGCATGTTTTACCATAAGTTTCTCATGTCTTGCTGCTGTACTTCAGTGATTCAGATTGGCCCCCTTCCACCACGAGGATGAAGATAGAGGTTCCAGGAGGACCCTGTGTCCGCCCTGGCGTGGGCGCGATTGAGGTCGACTGCTGGGCTCATCTGAGCAGATCGAGGGCAGTAGCACACAAGTCCTATGTGGCGCTCCTCTAGAAGCGCAACAAAAACGGCGCAGGCGTAAACTTTCGGAGGTCAGCGCATGCTTGCGTCGGCGCTGGGCTCCGCGCTCTGGGGGCGATGCCGGAGGCGCCGCCAGGAGTGTGGAGAGGGAGGCGGCCCAGCGCCGATCCAAGAATTCTTCGCGGGCATGCTCGTGGAATTATTTTGGCTCATCTATGTTCAGACATCGCGACGACTCCACCCTCCTCATCGTGGTCGTCATGTCGTCATGCGTTTCTAGAAGAAGAACAAATCGCATCAACACTTCCAGAGGATTTCTCGGATCTGCGCTGGACCCCGCTCACTTGGCGCGCGGAGCGCGCCAGGGGCTTGGATCACGGCGCGCGGCAATGGAGAAATAAGACGGAGGATTCATGGGTCTGGTACGGTCTTTAGGCTGTTATTGTATACCACCCCTTGACACCATACTAGGTATTGTCGCAATTTGTCTGATCCTCCTCCTCGTCCTCGGCTTCTTAGTGTGTGCGCTTTTGTTCGGGCCAGTGCACCCCGTCGTCCCCAAGGAAGGCATTTGGCCAGACACGGGGGACTCAGCCCAGCGGGGCCGATGCACGCGTTATGGCGTGCGCTCGTACAGCGAGCATCGTTCATGTTCAAATTCGTGTCTTGCGCCTTCAATCTGACCTCGAGTTGTGTTGTCTGGTTCTCACGCTCTCACGCCCCCCCTCAAACAAATGTTTGTTGATAGTATTGGCTAATGTGGAGGAAACAGAGACACCCCGATGTTCAGGGCATCTTACTCGCAGCGAGCGGAGACTTTGTGTACTTGTTGCTTTGCTTTACATCGCGCAGTTCAATGAAGGCTGTGCCGCAGCGAAAGACTTAGAGTGCCCTCCCGGCGTCGTTGCCAGCCACGACAGCGGCCGCTCCGTAGCCACCACTGAAGAGTATGGCCTCACAGCAATTGGCCCAAGGATACTCCGTACTCCGCGCAAGTCAGATCCCAGAGCAGTTGATTGAAATCACTCGAGAGTGGAGTTGGACGGGTCTGAGCCGCCGTCAGAGAAATGTTGTTTGGAAGGACTGAAGCATTAACACACCAGCCGTCCAGATCGCGCGAGGTCAAATGCCGTTGTGGTGTGGCCGTGGACTGGGCACTCCGATATGCCCTTTCCAGCTTTGCTTCTTCCTGTTACCATTTGGTGGGAGCTCCTTTGTCGTCTCCGCAAAGGCGCCTTGTACAGGCCTCGGGCGGCTAGATCTTTTCGAGCCGCCGGCCCCCTTCCCCAGGGCCGAGCTTCTCGGGGACCTCTCTTGGCCGTCTTGGGGCCATCTTGGGGCCCTGTGGGGCAGTCTTGGAGGTCTCTTGGGCTGTGTTGTGGCTTTTTTGGCCGCTTAGTGGGCTCCCCTTCGGACGTCTTGGGGTCCTCTTGGAAGCCTCTGGGCCATCTTGGGGTCATACTGGAGGCTTCCTGGGCCGTGTCGGGCTGTCGGAAGCGCAAGAAGGCGAGAACGCCTTGATTTTTTCGCTGCCCCTCTTGGAGGGCTTCTTGGAAACCCTTGAGGCCGTTTAGTGCCATTTGAGGCCATCTTGAGTTCATCTTTGTATCTGGAGGCCTCAAATGCTGTGGAAAGCGAGCTGCCGGTCTGGACGTGTGGATGCGCGAGCTTCTTTTCTCCCCGTGTTATAGTCTACTAGCTATATCCTGTCTTTCTCTGTCACCCCTCTCCCCCATGCATGTAACATGTTGGGCACGGTTGTCCGTCGTTTTTGTTTCAAGTCGCCGTTGTTTGTTGTTGTTCGTGCCGTTGTTGGGCCGAAGGCCGTGGCGACGTTTCGGGCGCAATATTCGAAGAGCAACAGTATATCAAACTAGAACCACGCGCGCGCTTCGCGCGCGCTTAGGTTCTAGCGCAGACCAAGGCAGTGGCTCAACATCGGACGGGTCAGGGTCAAATCACGAAGCCCAAATTCGCAACATATCGCCAAAGCGAAGGCCGCCCTCCATCACGTCATGCACATTATATTCCCCTGCTCCTTCCTCTCTTGATCCTCCCACATCTCATCATTGTACCTCCTCCCACCTCTCTCAGTTCCTCATTCTCTGCTTCTCCTCTTTCCCCATCCGTCATCCCCTACCACTCTCTTACTCCATTGTTCCACATCTAGCCCTCTTGTGTCTCATCCTCCGCCACCTTCTCCTCCCTCCTCCCATGTGTTTCACTTTTTTTTTTGTTCTCTCTCTCTCTCTCTTGTGGCCTCCTCATCCTCATCATTGCCATCAGGATATTCATTCCTCGAGGCGACGGATTGGAGCAGAAATAATAGAGGAGTCGGATCGGCTATCCTCCCCTCCCTCTCTCCTCTTGTGTATAAGCTCACAGGCTGCATTCCTCCCTCGGCATCCCGAACGTCAGAACGCACTGCGCGACCGCTCCTGTTCAAGCGGAACCAATGAGGGCGATGAGGGACATCCCGTGGAATTTTGAGGCTAGCTTTGGGTGAAAGGGGGCCGCGATATGGGACCTTCGAATTGTTCAGGATCGATGTGGGCGAATATTGAAATTGAAGTGGCCAAGTTTGGGAAGCAAGGTTATTTAGGGGCCTCTGGGGGGGTTCTCTTGGGGCGTTCTGGGCCCCCCCCCTTGGGACCGAGGGGTCGGAATGTCTGTTCGCCCCCCCCCCCCCCCCCATCTGGGCCCCCTATTGGGGCCGTCTTGGGGGAATTGTGGGACGTCTTGGAAGCCGCTATGGCCGTTTTGGGACCTCTTGGGCCGTGTTGGGGCTCTCTTGGAGGTCTCTTGGGCTGTTTTGGACCGATCTTGGCGGCCTCTTGGGCCCTCTTGGGCCTCGGGGAGCCGAGAAGGCGATAACACCAACATCCTTTTTCAACACCTATCAGAAATTAATGATGTTTGCCTCTTGGGGCCATCTGGGGCGTGTTCTTGGAAGCCTCTTGGGGCCTCTTGGGAGCAGATGGGTGCCTCTTCAGGGCCCCCCCCTGGGGGCTTCTTGGGACGTCCAAGGGGCTTTTTTGGGCCGTGGTGTCGAAATGTCCGTTCCCCCCGTCTGGGCACCCTCTTGTAGCCATCTTGGGGGCCTCTTGGGCCGTCTTGGAGCCCTCTGACCCGTTTTGGGGCTCTCTTGGATGCTTGCTGGCCGACCTGGACCGAACTTCGGGGCCTTTGAGGCTTTCTTGGAGTAGCGCAGAGCTTTTTGAAAACCTACCACACATCAATACGTTGTGCCTCTTGGGGCCCTCTTGGGAATGCTCTTGAGGCATCTTGGGCACCTCTGGGGGGCTTCTTGGAGCGTCCTGGGGGCCTGTTGAGCCCGAGGGGTCGGAATGTCCGTTGGGCCCCCCCGTCTGGGCCCCCTCTTGGAGCCATCTTGCGAGCCTCGCGGGCCGTCTTGGAGGCTTCCTGGGCCGTCTTGGAGCCCTCGTGGTGGCAGCGCATTCGAGCTCCTGGCGGTCCAGGTGGTTTTTCTTTGAATACCCTGGGCGACCAGCCGCCCGCTCTCAGGATGTCGCTGATGCGGCCCCCCGCCTTGCGGACGGTCTCCACATGACCTCGCCGCAGACCTTTCGAGGCGAGACCCTCCAGCCCAGGAATGCCGTTTTGTGAGTGGCTCTCTTGGAGGGCTTTTGGGTCGTCTTGTACCGATCTTGGGGGCCTCGTGGGTTGTCATTGAGCGTTGCGGAGCCGAAGAGGCGATTACACCAAAGTGTTTCAAAAACACATTATAGCCGGAGTGCAGTATCCCCAAACAGGGTTTTTAAACCCACTGCGGTTTTCAAGGTCGATTGCGCGCCCGTCCAGTGCGGGCTAGCATGGCACGTTAGAACATGCCTCCTCCTCCTCCTCCTCGTCCTCGTCCTCCCCCACCTCTTCATCCCGAACGGCATCTCGGAGCCCAGAGTTGCGAGGATGTCTCCAGCGTAACGGGCTGGACCACCTCGCGCGCGGCATCTCGGACCCCAGAGTTGCGACGATGTCTCGGGCGAAACGTGCTGCAAGGAAGTCTCAGGCGAAACGGGCCGGACCACCACGAGCGCGGCGTCTCAGAGCTCCGAGTTGCGGGGGCCTCCTGTGGCCTCATGGACCCCACCTGGGGCTTCCTGAAGCCTCTTGGGGCTCCCAGGGGGGAATATCTAACATGTGGCCGTCGGGGCCCCCCCAAATGGGGGGGGCCACAAGAGCAGGAAGACTCAACGAATCGACACCGGATGTGTATCAACTTGACACGTTCTGATAGGGGGCCTCCTGGGAGCCTCCTGGGGATGTCCTGGGGACCCCTGGGGCCTGTCCTTGGCGTCCTGCGGCCTCCTGAAGCTCTCTGGGGCCTCCTGGGGCTCCCAGGGTCCCAGGGGGGATATATAAGATATGGTCTTCTGGGCCCCCAGGCTAGACCACCTCTTGCGCGGCATCTGGGAGCTCAGTCAGAGTTGCGAGAACGTCTTATGCGAAACGGGCCAGACCACCTTGCGCACGGCATCTCAGAGCTCAGAATTGCGAGGATGTCTCAGGCGAAACGGGCTGGACCACCTCGCGCAGGGCATCTCGGAGCCCAGAGTTGCGAGGATGTCTCCAGCGTAACGGGCTGGACCACCTCGCGCGCGGCATCTCGGACCCCAGAGTTGCGACGATGTCTCTTGCGAAACGTGCTGCGAGGAACTCTCAGGCGAAACGGGCTGGACCACCTCGAGCGCGGCGTCTCAGAACCCCGAGTTGCGGGGGCCTCATGGGGCCTCCTTGGGCGTCCTGGGGACCTCCTGCGTCCTCCTGTGGCCTCCTGGACCCCACCTGGGGCTTCCTGAAGCCTCTTGGGGCTCCCAGGGGGGGATATCTAACATGTGGCCGTCGGGGCCCCCCCAAATGGGGGGGGCCACAAGAGCAGGAAAACTCAAGGAATCGACACCGGATGTGTATCAACTTGACACGTTCTGATAGGGGGCCTCCTGGGAGCCTCCTGGAGATGTCCTGGGGACCCCTGGGGCCTGTCCTTGGCGTCCTGCGGCCTCCTGAAGCTCTCTGGGGCCTCCTGGGGCTCCCAGGGTCCCAGGGGGGATATGTAAGATATGGTCTTTTGGGCCCCCAGGCTAGACCACCTCTTGCGCGGCATCTGGGAGCTCAGAGTTGCGAGAATGTCTTGTGCGAAACGGGCCGGACCACCTTGCGCACGG